ACTTATTACGAAATTCGATCTACTTATAACGAAATAGCCTTATGTAATATCCTCTAATGTTATTATGTTGATGTTGTAAATCTGCTTGAGAAATAGGGAACTGGTCCCCCCGATCCCATTCCTGTTCTTGGGACTGTTAGTGCTCCTGGAGTGTGCAACCCTCACAGTGATTGAACGTTGACCCGGGCTCCTCTACCAAGTCTCTTCACCCACCAAACTCATCGTAAACCTCACTCCCCATCCTCTCAGCCACCAAGAAGCCCTCTGTGACAACACCACCGGCAGCTTGCGATTCGGCCGCTGCTTGTGTCAGGCGGTTCTTGGCCTCCAACTGTTCATCCGAAAGGCCATAGTCTGCATCCTTTGCATCGCAGCCTCGCGTTGTGTGGTGGTTGATGTTCATAGCCATTGTTCTTGTTAGAAACGATTAGAATGGATCAACTACCGCGGCTGGGGCACAAAAGCTTCCTGCAGCGGCCATCCGTGTGTAGGTACCTGGGTGAGACTGCATGTAAACGAATCGCGAAAACCCTCCTAGCCACTTAGAAGCAAGAAGCTATATACTAGGAGCAAGGGCATCGCTACTAGGGGCTCCTGGCCTCACTACTAGGAGCAATGCTAGGAGCAAGAAGCTACTAGGAGCAAGGACGCTACAATGGAGATGCAATGAGTCAACGCTTGGTCTACCAGCAACCACCTTCCATCACATTTTACTTCGGCAAAGACCCAAGGAGGCAGCAAAGTTTGTTTTGAATTTCAACATGGCATCCTATTCCGGGTCAACGTCCAACAAATCTTTAGGTCAAAGAATGGCTTTCAGCTTGGAGTTTCACTATCAATCATATCAGGGACATTCCCTTTGAAAACAGAATGATTTTCTTGGCTGTCAACACTTTAACGTGTTGGTCTGGGACTGACGCAAGAAAAGTGGATTGAATTGGCCTCCACGCGGGGCGACACTGCACTTAATTTTAAACAAGCACTGTTAGGCAAGCACACAAATCCCCTCAGATGTTTTGGATATGGTTCTACCTTTTGAGACCTTTTAGACCCCGTCAGTATATCATCTCACCCTTGACCTTCCTTCTTGATCCTTTTCTTGCTCATGGTTTGGGTTTGCGATAGGTTCTCCCCTCGTGAAAGAACCCGTGTCTCAAGCCTGTCCCAGGCACACTGGTTGACCACATTGGGCGGCATGGGCCTTGGGCTGATCTTGGTCAAGGCTGCCTGCTGCATCTGATAGTCCGCCACCCCGAAGTGAGCATCGTCGAAGCCTATCGGCCCGTGACGTGGGGAAACGAAAAACGTTTTCTGATGCTTGGGTTCGGTTCAAAAAATCAAGGCGCCACAAAGCTTATATTCAAGGATTAGCACTGTTCACCAATCTACATACAGTAGTTTTCAGCCATGGATGTCAGGCTTATATCTTATTCGATTTTGTTGGGTCCAACCCTGGTTTACCAGAGTGGACTATTCCGGATGTGACTCTTCAGTTTCACCTTAACCAGTTCAAAGTCAGGTTCCGAAGGTTTGGTCAGGGTCAATCTATTTCTTATCCTCACCGCGTCAACCTTCGTGAATTGCATTTTGGTAAGCTTGCTGGCTTCATCGGTTTTTTCCAAGCCTCTCTCATCCCACAGAGTCGCTTACTTGTGCATTGATGCTTCCATCCAGTTGTGTGACTCGGTCACTCGCTCTTCTAAGGGCCGGGCCGTTTCTTGTAAACTTGTGCGTCTTCCTTTTTATTGTTTCGGGTCAATTCCGGCTTCGCTGCGTCATTCGCTCTTCTTTCGTCTCGCGTCGTTCGTGCGGCACTCAGGGCATCAGGTTGCAAACATATATGATTCTGTATGTATATCACATCACTTGCTGGTTCTTGGCCAGAACTCAGTTGTCTTGCATGGACCCCCCAACCACCTGACTCAAAGAAGGTCAATCAAAAATAAATAGGACCACAAGACCTCACTTGGTGCGTGGAAGTGTATGGAAGTAGTGATGCCAACTGTTCCATGAACACTATGTAGTGCTACCATGTGCTACCGACTCTTGCATCTATTGTGGTGGCGTATATATATATATATACATTGGGTAAGTATATCCTAATCCTCGTGACAGTGGATGATGATGGTTAGTAAACGCCTTATTGAAAAATAGTAATGTTCTTGTTTATCAACTGGTTTCAGGTAGGTTCAAACCAATCATGTCTTTGGAGTTCTCACATGTCTCAGCGAAGGAAAGCAAGCACGTCTTTCTCGTCCGATGTTCGGTGTTCGGATGTCAGGTATGGAGTCCAGGTCCGGCTGGATAACCTGCAGAACGTCCATGATACAGTGTGGATTCCAACATACATAATCTAACTACAAATTATGTTTGCATACTTTTTGCAAATACAAAGCTTTTGGCCCTTGTAGAATCTTTTCCAAGTCGCAAAGGAAAAACACAACGCCTGGTGACCTCCCCCTCCCCTCCTTCCCAACTCTTCCCGCCAAAAAGCTGGTTCTGGGACTCAGCCTTATCAACCGGTTGTGGCAGATTTGCCGAAAGCTTTCTGCGATCTTCTGCAAGAGTCCCGATTGGTCATCACCACAAACAACTGACACAAACTAAGACGCGGCAATCAATGTCAACCTATACTTCATCCAGAAGATGGTGAAAAGGACTCGCTCTATCTCTCTGTATGTATGTACTTACTGTATACATGCCCACAATTACTACTAGTTACATGGTATGAGTCTGGTGCTGCTTCTATCCAGCCAGCAATCACGCAGCTGAGCAGCCGGTTTGACAAGATGTACGTGGGAGGACTGGGGGTCTCAGAGGCATCGCGGGTCTTCGGCATTTCCTCCGCATCCGCGAACTCATCGTCGTCCTGATCAGCGGGGGGGGGGCGGACGCAGTACATGCTCAGAACAACAAAGAACATATTAAATTGTTCTTTGGTGTTGCTTTCGGCTCCCCCACTTGCAAAGTTGGGTCTTGCATGTCAGGATCTTGGAAGCTTGTCATGCAAATGATATACTGCCCAACATGGATGTCCTTCTTCCCTTCTCCTGGATCAGTTAAGTTGTCAACAACAGAAAAGCTAAACAAAACTACCAATTGCAAAACATATATATATAACCATTGATGCGGTACCCTGGGTGGCAGCAATAATGAAACAAATAACGATATGATTTGATTCATCGTTCTTCAACATATTATGTGCAAGAACATAAGCCTTGCATCAAAACTGCTCCCACCACCACACCTCAACACCAGCTTTCGATTACAGCTAGTAGAAGCACTACAATTATATAACCATGTGTCAACCAATCTCCAAAATCCCAAAGTTGTCGAACTACATTTGATCATTTAACATTATTGATTGTTTAAAATGGCTCTTTCATGAATCTTACAATACATAAATTCTTATATATCTCCCATCCACTCACCAGAACCCTTCTCCCCGTGCCTTGCCGGTGCTCCCTGTGCACTCGCCCCGTGCACTCGCAGGCGGCGAGCACTCGACGCGTGGTTCACCGCGGTGAACCGGGCGACTCACCGAGCACGTGGACATGGGCACAGGATCCAACCTAGTAGCGTCCTTGCTCCTAGTAGTAAGGCACTTGTTACTAGAAGCGATGCACTTGTTCCTAGTAGCTTCTTGTTACTAATAGCTTCTTGCTCCTAGTAGCGATGCCAGGAGCCCCTAGTAGCGATGCCCTTGCTCCTAGTAGCTTCTTGCTCCTAGTAGCGATGCCCTTTGCTCCTAGTAGCTTCGTGTTACTAGTGGTACGGCCGGGAGCCCCTAGTGGCGTCCTTTGCTCCTTAAGAAAATCACTGTTCCAAATCGTTTGAGGATTTTTGTTGGCTGGAGATTTTGTTGGATTTTAGAGATTTCTATAGATTGCTTAAACCTTGTGCGGCGGGAAGATTTGCGTAAACATGCGTAAAAACAGATTGAAGAAAAGTAGAGCTTTGGGGCTGGTTGGGGAACAGATTTAGCCCTTCATTATTGGCCATCCAGCACGACGAGGACTGCCAAACTCAGTTGGAGTGTGGAGCAAAGCAGCCAATGTGGAGCAAGCGAGCTGGGGTGCACAATTGCGCCGCGTGTACTCAGAGCGGCAACCTTACTCTTCAATGGCATTTTTATAGCAACATTCTGCTTGGATAAGGTGCACTTTGTCTTCATATATCTTTCAACCGGCTGAGTTCACCAACATCTTTTCAATAAGGTCGGATGTTCAAAGTCTAGACCAGCTGGCATGTGCCATGTGCCGGGAATGTTTGAACTCTGTTCGATTGGGGTCATGGGGGCTCTTGGGCCAAAGGTTTTCTTGACACAATGTTGCGAGCAATATCAAAAGGTTTCTGAACCGACATGGCTGCCAGAAGAGAGCAAAGCTCGCTGAAAGCCTGGAAATGAACGCCCTCAGACGAGGAACTGGGGTCGCACCAATATCTCTCTGGGTGGGTTGTAGCCTGAATAATCAAGATTGATCAAACCTGTTGAAGATCGTTTTGAGCTTAATATGGTTTCTTCCGTGACCTGTCTTCCCCCACATCTCTGCTAGGAAAACAGGCTTGCCACATTTTACTCCTGAAACGAAAACCAGCTGAGCCGAGGCCACGGACGGCCCCCAGCGTTGGTGAACGCAATTTTCTGCAGCCCAAGGTTAGCCAAAAGCCAATGAAATCGTGACATCGATGTGGAATGATGTCGTTGGCTCTCCAGGCAAACAAATCAACGTTGAGGAGTGCATCCTCTAAACTCTAAACAAAGCATGCGCCCCCTTTCACAATTTCATGACATCCCAAACCCATCAGTTCCGACACAAACGAGGAGTTGGGATGACCTACAAGCAGGATCACAACTAGGTGACCTTCGGTCTTGGAGATGTTGTAGGAGCCTACATGCATCTCCCCCACCCAGAAATGCATGTAAGCCAGAATGGGTGAGAACATGTGAGAACTACCTCAAAGCGTGGGTGAACCATGCTTGGCCAAGGCCAAGGTACCATTCATACTGGCATTCCAGAAGTCAGCATAGCCCGCAGAAACTTGGCCAAGCCTCAATGTGTTTGGCATGGGGCATGGAATTTTGCAGCCAACTGGCCCCCCCCAGAGGACAAGGCAATAAATAGCGATGTTTTGTTTTTTCAAGTCCTGGCATCGTGACTTTTTGTTGGGCTGGGATATCTATTGCAACCATACTGGAGCAGGTGCTACACCACCTCAATCCCGCCCCACGCAGATGCATTCTTACAGCACAGGCATTCTACAAGTAAATATAGTGTAAAGCGGTCTAAAGTTACCATGAGACTTCTGGGGTGGTGCACCAAATTCCCAAGGACGGGCTCATGATGAGAGCAACCGACAATCAGAAACAAAACAAAAACTAATTCCTTCAACATGGAAGTCCAACATTGTTTGCCTATTGCATGGATGCGTCACTTTTTTCCTGCTGATTGAAGAGATGACAGACCTCACGATCAGAAGGTGACAATCGTCCTTCATCCTCATCAAGAGTATCACACAAACTCTGCTCCTCCTTTTTTGGTTTCAGACCTCAAAGGTCACCTCCCCGGACATCGAATTCCTCAAAGCGACTGGGCGCTATCCATGGTGGCGCGACAAAAGCGGCCATGGTCCAAGTTGGCCTCGATGAGGATAGCATCGCCTCAATGAGGATGGAGTGTACTATGCAGTGTCTATCCATAGGAAAAGTATGTACCAAGTGGATGAAGACGTGGCCCTGTCAGTTTGAGAGCATACGCTGAAAAGTGACTATATATACTATACTGTAAATACTATACCGGTGGATTTTACTTGTTGCATCTTGTTGCACTGGGTACTTGTTGAGTGTCAGTAGAAGTGGGATCCAAGTCCAGCAGATTGAAGTGAACTCTCGATCCCCCTGAGTTAACGATGTGAAAAGGCACGACCTGAGCCACACAGAACAGGACCGGAAGGCTTTGCCACGAAGGATGGAGCCACCCATAAAAAGAAATCCAGTGTGAGGGATGAACCGTCAGGGCCGCCAGGGGATCGATATCCTTTGAATGCAGACTCACGACCCTTTACGTCAGTCCATCCATTTCTTTCCCTGGAAGGATGTAGATCAATCTGACCAAAAGCAATGGCCGTGTTGGCTCCGGCTCGAGGAGTTCGTCAGCACCAAAAGCATTAATGTTGGATGTTGATTAGTAAACCGGTCTTCAATAATGCTAAATTTTCCAAAATTATTCCAGACCCAATGTTTGAAAAAGCGGTCCTTAATAATGCTATTTTCTGGGGTGGCCCTAATTTTTTGATATTGGACACCTAATTAATAATGGACTGCACCTTTGCTGACTGGGCTCAGGGTTCCCTGTGGAGCAGGACTCTCCTCCTGAGGCCAATGATTATGATTCATTAGCTGATATAGGTCTTCTTCAAAACTGACAGCTTTTCACAACCACCAATTCCTAATTCAATCCTTTATGTGAACATTGCTCCTAAACAAATTTTCTAGGTAGTAGACCAGGAAGGCACCTGATCCTCAATAATAGCTTTGTTTTAGGGGATGTCAATTGTGAAAAGTTTATCCACTGGAAAAAAACGGTTCATGGAATCTTCCTTTACTTAGTTCCTGAGGCCAATGATTATGATTCATTAGCTGATATAGGTTTCTCTATGTTTCTTCAAAGCTGACAGCTTTCCAAACCACCAATTCCTATTTCAATCCTTTATGTTAACATTGCTCCTAAACACGTTTTCAAGGTAGTAGACCAGGAAGGCACCTGATCCTCAAAAATAGATTTGTTTTAGGGGTTCTCAATTGTGAAAAGTTTTTCCCACTGGACTACTACACTACTACTACTACTACTACTCCTGCTACTACTACTACTACTACTACTACTACTACTACTACTACTACTACTACTACAAAGAGAGAAATACTACAATCAATTACAAAAAGGAATCCTTGTAGGAACCCAGATCTGGTAGTTTATTATAGAGGGTGCCCCATGTGTTTGAGGGAGGGGGGGGGATCCCCCTTTACTAATCAGGATCCAACATTAATTAAGTTGTATCGAACCATTTCTTCTTTTGTGAGATTGCGGCCGCCTCTCAGCAGGCCTACCCTCTCGTGGCTGGGTACGAATAAACATGTGGAACAACTGCCGGGTGGCCGAGGCTGGCCGCGTTGAAGCAGCACCGTTGGAGGTTCGCCCGTCCTCGGTGCGAGTCTCTGATCCAAAACATGGTCCAAATGCAGTAGGGTTTCTTGAACGCCTGACTGGGATGCATTCTCCCTACTACCTACCCAGCGACCAAGCACCCCTCAAACCAATGTTGAGAACGGGATTTTGTTGGTGTTAACTTTGTTCACCATGGGGTGGACGCAGCATTGCTCCCTTCAACCCAGAATTCCCCAAACAAGCTGTCAACCACCGATTCAAACAAAACTATGTTGCTTCTTACTTGGAGCTGCCTTTCACCGGTTTCTCCCCACCGTTATATGGACTCCCCCCACCAACGCCCCCAAAAAAAAACAGTACAGTAACAACAACCAAGATCTTGGGCAAATTCTTGTCCAACCAGGATGTGTTTAATTATATAAGGTGTTATTTTTTAAAAAAATATTCATTGGGGTATATTGGGGTCGGTTTCAACCGTACCACCTGATGCTGGGTGTTTCTTCGGCCATGCTGGTGTCTGGCTGAATCCACCAGAAATCCGCACCCCGGAGGCCAATGTGGCAAGCATCGGAGGCTAGCACCTTCGAGAAAGGACTCCTCACAAAGAGCGAAAAAGGAAAGAACACCTCCGATCCGATCTCGATCTTGTCTGACTGATCTCGATCTTTGCAAACTGCTTCTTCAATGGGGCACATATGGATGACATACGATGGACAGCTCTCCTCTAAATCATGGCCTTCCAAGTTCACGCCATCCAGCTGTGCCCCTGGGAAGGTGGCACGCCTAGCACAGGAATTGGATGGGGAATCAGTGGGGTTCACGTGGTTTCTCATGGTTTCTCAATATCGATTCTGGATTCATAAAACTTGGCAAATTTCCAGGACGTTTGTTCGTAGTTCTTGAGTAGGAGGGGTGCATGTATAATCCGTGAGACGGATGCCGGGGATTCGGGGATCACTTGCAAAGGCTTCAGCTTCCGCAGCACGTCCAACCAAAAGCCTGAGGCTCCCCTTCTCGAGCTGCTTCTGGACAATCCTGCGGAAAAGGAACACCCGAGAATTGCCGGAAAAGACCCGAGTGGAACAAATTAGCTGGAAAAGGTCACCAAGCCATCTTCCACACCCACCGGCGCGTTGTTTGCACCACGTCTTTAGGTTTTTTGACTTCAAAAGAATCGAAGACTCCAAGGCCTGCCCGAGATCTGCACATGGGGACACAGCTCCCACAGAACTGATCCGAAGCTTAAACGTCTTTGGATAACCTACCCAGGCGCTGTGTCCAATCCCTGGCAGCTTGATGTTGTCCATCGATTCTTTGTAGTGCTCTCAGCTTGCAACTCTCAGATCTGAAACTTCTTCTTGCACCTTTCAGCTTTGGTCAATGGAGACCATTGAAAATCCTTGAAACATCAACCATAGCAGCATGGACATCTTGCGGCCGCTGATCCACACTCCCACCCCTCTTCCTCGGCAGCGGCATCGGCTCCGGCGGCGCCAGCACGGGCGACGGACCCACGGCGCTCGGTGGTGGCGTGCGCGGCGTCTCCCGTGGCTTGGTCTTTGGCGCCTGTGTCATGCTGAGCTTGAAGCCTTGGATGCCTGGGACCCCAGACCTTCCATCTATGGAAGAGTTGTACATTAATGTTGATAAATGGGGTATGGCAAATGATACATGGACGGTCTGACTTGGACACTGCCCCGGCCCACTAACAGTGAGCACCAAGATGGGCACCACCAAGCGCACGAGAAAATTGGACCCCAAAAGCGGGTTTCTAAATTTGAAAAGTCATCTACCTAAACTGAATAGTCCCATTATATGTTGGCAGCACCTTTTTCTCCTTCATACCTTTGCCACTGGTCCACTGCTTTGGTGCTCTACACGGCACACTCTTGTGCCCAAGCCAACAAAGCCTTGCAAGGCTGCGCGCCCTGGTCTTCTCCAAGCCTTTCTTGAACCTGGGTTGGGGCTGGCTTGCTCTGGGGAGGTCCGCTAGCAAAGTAAATGTCCGGCTAGGGCTGGGCCTGGGGCTGGCTGGGCTGGGCTGGCTTGCTCTGGGGAGGTCCACTAGCAAAGTAAATGTCCCCCTACGGCTGGGCCTGGCACTGGCTGGGCTGGGGCTGGCTGGGCCGGGGCTGGCTTGCTCTGGCGCCTGGGGCTGGCGGCTGGGGCCAACTAGAGTAAATGTCCGGCTGGGGCTGCGGCTGCCCGAGCCCGGCTGGATCCGGGGCTGGCCGGTCAAATTTTGGCTCCGGAGTTGTGCTTTTCTGGTGCTCCTCCAGGCTCCGGAGTTGTGCTTTTCCGGCGCCAAAAAGCACGAGAAAAAGCACGAGAAAAGGCAC